AGAGCCAACTTCTTAGACCCTTCTGGAACTCTCTTAAACCTCCACGGAGCATTAGGAGAACGGGAAATAAGATCCGAGGACATCTGAGCTGTAGACACCTGCTCTTCTGCGATCTCCTCCCTAACACGAAAAGGGTGGGATCCTCTCCCCATTTTTGGGTGACAAAGCCTTGCCTGACTCAGAGAGGGCACGTGGTTTGCTCGAGGCCAAAAGTCTTCCCATGACAAAACCAGATTCCCCCAGGGGCCAGCCGTTCCCAGGGAAGGTCTTGGACTTGCTCTGCTTGGTTCCTCCCCACATCCATCCCCCACCTGCCCATTGCGCTCCCATCCACCCTCTACCGCAGGAGCTGCAGGGACACCCAGCAGGGATGAGACTCATTGCTCCTAAGTCCCAGAGTCCAGAGGCAGGTGGGGGCTTGAATCCTGTCTCTCCTAAGATGCACCTTCATTAATCACAGCCATCCTGATGAGAACTAGGAGACAGGGTACATGCTGGCCTCCCCTCCCATCCCTGAGCCCACCACCCACTGCAGATTGGGACCCTAAAAGAAAGTGGCCCTACCCACCCCCCCCCATCCCTGAGCCCACCATCCACTGCAGATTGGGGTCACAAAAAGAAGGAGCCCCTACCCACCCTTCCTGATCTCACCTGAAGAAAGAGATTCCAAGATTGTGGAACTGACCCCAAGGTTTTACACCAACCTGTGTTCTTGGAGGGTCTGAATCCTGGCGCTTTAAGTAATTCCACTCAGACTAAGCCACACCCCTGGTGACACAGGCAGCAAATGAAATTAGGTTTTGTTTTTCCAGGAATCCGAAACCAAACATATTTGTCTCCTCCTCTCTTCTCCTCAAGAGAAATATCCAGTTGTGGGAACCAGCAGTTAGCATAATGGCTCTGTCACTGGACTCCCACGTAGTCGACCGTGGTTCGCGTCCCGGACCTGGTGGCTTAAAACTCACGCCAGGCGCGTGTGCGTGCGTGCCCAAGATCCTGAGAGTAGAATGGAGGAGAAGGGATTGTGGTGTGACCATCCCCCCTGGGGAGTGATTTCTCGCTTTCTGTCTCTATGTCTCTCTCTGTCTGTCTGGCGAGTGCACGCACCCTACAGTGAAAA